TGTCCATTCCTCTACTGGAGTTTGCTCACGGGGACTCTGGAGGTGCTTTTCCACCAGGTCCGTGGCCCTAGTACAGTGTGTACTTGGAGGCTCATATTTCAGCTCTGGCAGAAGACACGCAGAGTTCGACAATGCCTCCTCCAAGTCAACAGTCTTAATATGATATGTCAAGGCAGGCTCTTGACTTACGGGAGCAAAGCACCATGTACTCTGGGTCCAATGTAGTTAGCAATAATAATTCTGTCATAGAATTCCCCCAGTTTCACCCTGATGAATTAGCCAAGTTATAGCATGCAAGAAAGCACAGGACAGGTATCTGTGTGATTGTGTAATTTTAAACATTAATTATGAAACATATAGGGTATCAAAGGAATTTTTTCAAATGAAAAGGATTTTTTTTCATTAGCCAGGTTAACAACTCTGTATCTCCCATAATTATTACTACTAACAATAAGAGCTAATGCTCACTGAGTATTTACCACGGAGCGAATGCTGTTCAAAATATTCACTCGTTTAAGGCACTCTCTCCCTTTTTCACGCGAGGTTCCTCCGTTACTGTAAAGAGAGCACATCTTCCCCGTACAAATCTCCACTTTCCCAGACATACTGAAGAAAGAAAAAGTGAAGTGAAATGTTCCTTTATACATAAAGTTTGCAATTAAACCTGTCCTTTTCCAGGAACTGTGTTTTGCTAGAACCACAGAATCAATCAAACCAAACTAGTGCAGCTAGAATCAGTAAGGCATCTAATTTCTGTCATTCTGCAATATACCTGACAGGCGATTTATTCAGCACCTCAGCTGATCCGAGCGTAGTGACAGGTACAAGAATAAGAGCGAGGAGCACAGCCCTCCTGCCCTCTGGTGGCTGCCACCCTGAAGCAAGCCGAAGTTCAAATTCCAAGATTTTTAACTCTAAAACATTGTCATAACCAAGACATTACAATAATATACACGAGTGACCATTATTATTCCCAGGGGAACAGACTGGGTCAGAGTGGTAGCAGGGGCAATCCACACTCAGATCTGACCTAGAAGTCTGTACAAAAGCGGGTTTCTTCCCACAAAGTGAAAACCCCTGACCTCGTAGTATTACCACATGGGGAGAGAGAGTGAGCACCTGGCACACACGCAGCAGCTCCCCGATAAACTGAAATTCATCGTGACAGTAAAATGACTCATGAACTTGAGCGTGCATGCTTCACCATCCCCTTTGAGGCGGAGTGCCTCTTCATGATGAACCTTTTTAAAAGCTCCCCACTTGTCACTGCATTTTGGAGGATGTAAAATCCTTTTTTTTCCAGAATACCACTTTAATTCTCAAATACCAATATGACAGAATTCTACTCAGAAATCCTCAAGTAAGTACGAGAGCCAAACGTGTTTGCAAGCACAATGGTTAATTGTGTTTCACCTGACATTTTAAGCATTTATCTTAGCCTTTCTGGCATAGGTATAGGAACCCCCAGTCTTATGACTAGGGAAACGAGGCTCAGAGAGGTTAAATAACTTGCCCACAGCCACACAGCTTGTGAGTGGTGAAGCCCTGGCTTCACACTCAAGCTATTGAAACCAAAGCTGTTATTTTTGTGGTGTAGCATTGCTTCCAGTGCGACACACGAGTACCACACTCCAGAATCTATGACAACTCCTTCCTCAGCAGGCAGAGAATGTATTGAGACCGATCCTTCTCCTTTCACTTGGGAATGAGGAAATAATCAATAATCTATGGGCTATTATTTGCTTTCCTGGGTGCTGGCCAAGGTAAACAGCACTGTGTCGCATGCTCTGGGAGAGATAAAAACAAAAGACCACATCCGGAATTTCAAAGAGGTTTTTGTCTCATTCGAGAACCCCACATTCACGCAATACAAAGGATGACCTTAATTTTGTGTAGTTCTTAATACCACGAATGATAACATTTCAGAGCCTTTACCACATGCCAGGGACTTTGGCTGCTTCGTCATCTCAGAAAACCCCTGCGGGGCAGGCACTGCCGTCATGGCGCTACGTGGAAGCCAGGGCTGCCGGTGGGCTGAGCTGCAGTAAATCCTGCCAGCACTTCTCTGCCAAAATCTTCCTTTGGCTTCATCCAATCGTGGTTTCCTGAGTCAAAATTTCAGTGTTACGTTGGACACCCAATATAATCATGGAGACATCTAAGTTACCAGTCTTGGACACAGACTGCAAAACGCAAGGTATGCGAGAGAGTGATGCCGTGAAGGGACACTTACTGAGCACGTCACCGGATGTGTGTTGTTCCTGCAGCCGCCCCCTGAGACGGGCTCCTGTTTTAACTCCTACCTCCATGAATAACTGTGAGGCCGGCTCTAATACGGCCCATTCAGCACACGTCGAAAGCGAGTCTCTGAGTTTCCACAGTCAGAAAGCAGGTCTAGGGCTCATGCCCCAGTTTAGCCAAAGCTTTGACACACAAAACTATGTTACTATTTGAGATATTTGGAAGAGTTTTGTGTTTTGTAGTCATTGCCCTTCGAAGGAGTCCTCCACCCCACCCTTGTCACACACGTAAATGCACACACCCTTTGTCGTCCGTGGTCACTTGGTGTGACTGCTGGAGTATCATCGTCATGCATTCAGTACTCGGCAAGTTTCCCCAGAACCAAACAGAAGGCCCAAGCCTGTCTGGGGGCTCTTCTGAGACACTTGGGGACCTCTCATTAGTCATTCCTGCAGGAGCCTTGTCAGGCTGACTCACAGAGACTAAGTAATGAGCCAGGGAACCGGCCAAGTGAGGAAGAGTGAGCCCTGGGCCTGAGAAACCAATTTCCTGCTGTAGGAACTTTCTTGCTGGCTATCAAGGGACAGATGTTTGCCTGCCCTTCCAAGGGTCTGCTTGGTGTTTGCAAAGAAACCGAGCACCCAGCCCATTTGAAAACCCGGCCAGTCTGGAAATGCTTTTCTTCCTTCCTGAGCACACCTGCAGAGAGAGAAAGAAAAGAAAGAACAATGGGTGGAGGGAAAATGATAACCCATACCTGGCATAACAATAGGAGTTAGGATTTGTTGAGCATGTGCTATGTGCCAGAAGCAAGCCCATGGTGGTTGGCTAAATGGACCTTCTGTTTGGAACTATTCTTTTTATTTTACTTTATTTTTTTAACCACCATTAGCATGTAAGACAACATTTTCATCACAGAGGTCTACACATAACCCCCCTTTGGAAAGATTCCCGTGTAAGGAATATTTCCAGTACTCTGAGATATTCGTGGTTTAACAAAAGATGACATAATCTAGCATGATGTATATGGATGAGAAAATTAAGGTTAGAATTAGAAAATTTAGGTCTGAATCCCTCATGAGCCAATAGTAAGGTCTGGGACATTGGGCAAATTATTTGACTCTCTCACCTTCGCTTCAATTTATTCTTTTATAATTTCTGTCATTGGGCTGAACTAGATGGGAAAATTTAGGTTAAATGTCTAGCTCAGTAGCTGGTTTTTCATAAGCCCTAGAAAGCTCTGATTTGTATACTGTGTACCATGGTGTACAAGGTATAGTGTCCCGCACATATACAGGGGGTGGGCAAAAGTAGGTTTACAATTGTTCATGTGGGAGATAATAGAACAATTAATAAATGGAAGAATAAACTCTGTGTTTCGCGTACTCACAACTGTAAACCTACTTTTGCCTACCCCTGTAGCGTATAATCTTTAGTGTATGCTATATAATATGTACTAAATAGCGTGTATATGTAACAGGTGTCTACATAAGTAGATAGAGTGCATTTTATGTAAACTGAACCAATACGCAACCTAGAGCTATTATTTTTCTTAACAGGCATTAACCTCTCGGGACAACTCTGAAAAGGCAATGTGCAAGCTCAAGTTGGACTGCAAAAGATTTTCAAGCGACTAACCGGAAGCTGACAATGAACTTAACCAGGGAAGGCTCCGCCAACACTAGGGGGCAAAAGACTGGAGCCGGGAGTCCGAACAACAGCGAGAACAAACGGGGATCGTCCTGGCTCCTCCCCGGCCGGGCCTAGACTGCGTTGCGTTGCATTGCGTTGCGTTGCGTTGCGTTGCGCGAGAATGAAAGCGTAGGAGGCACTTTCCCGTCATCAACAAATATCTCCAGTTCGCTTCCTTAGTTAGTAAACAAAGTTCTACTCTTGCCGACCACATTGACTCTAGAAAAAGTGTGCGTGCGCCAGCCCGGGAGGGATTTTGCAGGGGTGGGCAGGGATGGTGTGAGGTCGCAGGTGCCTATCCTTTCTACAAGGTACACCGGAAAAAAGAGGCGAGGATGGAGTGAAGAGCGTAGGCCAGGCTTTCACAGCGCGTTTCCTACCTGCCTAAAGAGGTAACAGCTAGGTGGAGAGCTGGCCATGGAGTACGCTGTTGGCGCTTTACTTGACTTGATTCATGAAATCTTCCTAACAATCAAAATGAACAGCCAGGGAGGAACTCCTGCAAACTCAGCTGGCTTTCCGTGTCCAAGACCCAAAGGTGAAATCCCCTCTTTAGAAGATGCTGAGTCTCAGCCCCTCCCAGCCCTGGGTGGCGCAGAAAGCCAACCTCCCTCCAGAAAGAGTTCCTTCCAGGCTGGCATGAACCTGCTCCCGGGAGGTGCTAAGGCTCTCCGACCCCGGCTGGCGCCGGCAGACTTCCTGAGTCCGCACTCGGAGACCTTGCCCGCCCAGCAGCACGATTGTGCAAGCGCGGGGCTGCCGCCACAGCCGCCACTGCGGGCTCTGCACGCCGCGGGAGGGCCGGGAGGTGTTCTCAGCGCGCACCCGGTGAACTCGCTGCACAACGCCCCTCCCCGAGGGTTATCTCCGGGGTGGAGTCCGCCCGCGCTCCCGCCCGGAGAGCAGCGCACCGGTCACCCGAGGCGCGGGCGCCCTCGCTCACCTCGCTGACTCCATCCTATTTCCATCCCCTCGCCCCCGCCCCACTCCGGGTCCCGCGTCCTTCCCGGCCGGGCAAGCCAGGACCCACTCCGCCCCACTCAGCGTGCTCATTGGCCACCCAGGGCCTGCCCTGTCTCCATAAATACTTGGTCCCTGGGCATGGATCATGGAGAGGGCCAGGAGGAAGTCGCAGAGCCTGCAGCATCTCTTCTACCCTCCTTGACATCTCTCCTTCGACGCTCCACAGCTCTAGTCAGACTTGTAGGTCCACATCCCTACGCTTCGTCTTCCAAGAGGCACCCGACCCCCTGCTGCCCTTCTCCAGCCCCTGTGGCCAGCGCTCGGCGGGCACCCGCGCCCTGAGGCTGCCGCACAGTGCTCGTCGAGCATCCTCGCGGAGGTCATTTCGGTCCCTCTTCCGCCTTCTTCATCCCACCTGCGGGTCCTCTTTGCGTCTCCTTCCCAGAAGCGTCACTCCAAACCCAGCTGGCGCCACTTTAGCCAGCTTGCCCTTCACGGTCCGCGCGCCCTCCTATGCTCCGGACCTTCCAGACCACTATGAGCTCTCCCATCAGCAAGAGCCGCTCCCTGGTTGCCTTCTTCCAGCAGTTTTGCAGCACTGGGCAGCCCCCTAGACCCGTGACATCGACGGCGTGCGCGCCCCCTCGGCCGCAGGAGGTGCCCGTCTGCCCACTGATGGAACGTGGCGAGGCGCAGAACTTGGCAGCCCTGCCGGGCCCCACCAACTGGCCACTGCTGGGCAGTCTGCTGGAGATCCTTTGGAAAGGGGGGCTGAAGAAACAGCACGACACGCTGGTAAATGCCTCATCGTGCCCCAATTCCCTCTCCCTTCCCTGCCCTGTGCTCCAAACTCTCCCTCAGGCGCGCGTCCGGGGCCCACGGTGCTCTTGGGTTATCTCCGCTGCGGCGGTCCCCCGGGGGGGGGGGCTAGGAGGCGGGTGGAGGGAGAAGCGCTCCGGGACTGCAAGGGATGCGCGCTGACTTTGCGCTGTGCCCGGCCCGCTGCAGGCGGAGTACCACAAAAAGTTTGGCAAGATTTTCCGGATGAAGTTGGGTTCCTTCGACTCGGTGCACCTGGGCTCGCCCTGCCTGCTGGAAGCGCTGTACCGCACGGAGAGCGCGTACCCCAAGCGGCTGGAGATCAAACCCTGGAAGGCCTATCGCGACTATCGCCAGGAAGGCTACGGGCTGCTCATCCTGTGAGTCCGGCAGCAGGATGGGCTCCTGCGGCTGCACCTCGGGCGCTTGGAAACTGGGAAGAGATTCCCTGGGGTGGACCCTTCTTAGGCCAGCGACACGGAAGCCCCTATCTGATGCGATCGCGTACTCTTGCAGACACCTGAGTAAACTGAGGGACAGCTGTACTGAGTGGGTTGAGGGACAGATGCCTTCCCTCTGGCATCTGGGCAGGGTCATACCTTTCCATCAAAGACATGCCAAAAAGCGTTATACTGATTGTGGTGGGATGGGATTCTGAAGTCAGCGTGCCAGGAAAACACATGTGATATACAAAAAGCATCCCTTAAAATTCTCCGTGACCCCCTCTTAGAAGCTCAGCCCCAGAAATCAACATCCCTTGCTTTTCACAGTGCCCTTTCTTTCTGGAAGGGAGTGGAAGGTAAGGACCTAGGTGAACTTGAAAGCTAAGATGAGGAGGGGTGTCAGAGTTGCATTCCAGACAGAGAAATGCTGTAATATGATGTGATTCCCATGCTTTTTAATTAGCACTTCCTCCCCCCCCTTTTTTAATGCCTAAGAGTTATACATTTAGGATGTAATTGCTGCAATTAAAAATATAGCAACGTGTGGCGTATCACATGCTCCGAGTTCAGCTATCAGGCAAGTGTGAGAGGGTGCCTGGCAGGAACAGGCTTTTCCCAACACCTGTGAATCTCCGTCTGCCAATATGTTATTATTTGGAGGCAATGGCAAAATTCTAAATTTGAGGTGTTTTGTAAGCATGACTTTCATTGGGTTGACAGAAGACAAGATATGTCCTCTTACAGATCTGGGCTTCTGGTGAAGGGGGGCGTCTTCAGGTGCCTGCTCTCATTGCTGGGAATTGAGGCATCTGGTCTCCCAGCTCAGCCCCAGCAAGGTCACCTCAACAGCACTGAACCCCAATTATCTGGTCATCGCCTTTCTTTGGCTGGGCAGAAAGGTGCTTTCTCAACCTATCTTCAAACCAGCCCCCCAGTACTCCAGTGCTTATAATTTCTGGTGATTTCTTGGCCCTGTTCTCCATGTCTGTTGATAATACAGTTCATGCAAGCTGAAGAGCTGGAGGGGGTCTCTGAGTATTTTCACTTGGCTCTAAATAGATTCTTGCTTCTCTCCCAGGGAAGGAAAAGACTGGCAGAGGGTCCGGAATGCCTTTCAAAAGAAACTCATGAAACCAGTGGAAATTATGAAGCTGGACAACAAAATCAATGAGGTTGGCAGGCTGGGGCCCACTCTCCCGGTTCTCTTGGGGAGGGAGGGTTGTTTAGAGAGTGTCCGGTCACAGATACAGAGAGCAGAGGGTAAAGCAGGCACTTTGGATGATTCCGGGTCTTCACTTTCTCTTCATTCCCCTCCACACCAGCTCCCCTACCCCAAAGCCCTTATTCCCACCTCCTTCACCATCTCTTAAAAAAAAATATCACATTGAGGGAGCAGTTACAAGCACAGATGTTGGTATTCCACAGTCTTGGATTTGAACATCAGCCTTCCATCCTGTGGAATCTGACTATACCATTTAATTTCCGTAAGCCTCAGTTTCCCAGTCTATAAAATGGGGTAACAGTCCTCACTCCACAGGTCTGCTGTGATGGCTGGATGAGATAATGCTTATGAAGTTCTTTGGTCATGACATTCCAGCTGGGTTTTGCAGGAAGAGTAGGAGTCCACAAGCCACAGGAGGCAGAGAAATGCATCCAGGCAGAGAGAACAGCCCACTGAAAATATGGAGACGCTAAGGCTCGATGTGTTTAGAGAAAGTGCATTCAGAACGAGGCTTTTCTGGAATGACGCCGGGCAGGAGGCAGGTCTCGACAACGTGTCTGTGTCGTGCTAAGGTATTTAGACACATCCTTCAGCCGACAGGCCAAAGGGCAAGGGATTTCAGCATATAGTATTCTCTTTTTACTCCTATTCACTCTGGGTGTTTATTTTGAATTGAACTGGGACCCACATATGATTGTATAGATAAAAGATTACAAACTCAGAAGCTCTTGGAGCCCAGGTAATTAATAGAAACATATATGGCAGGCCCAGTAGGGGCTTCAGGCAATGAGAGCCCACGCCCTTTCTGGGTGGCAGCTGCCCCAGTTCCAGCAAATGAGAGCCCCATGAGAATGCAGACACAGTGCCCACAGATCCTGTAATTATTTATTATTATTATTATTATTATTATTATTATTATTATTGACAAGTAGAGGGAAATCTATATGTTCATGTGAACTCTCTGAATTTTTTATGGTAACTAATTCACAAGATTTCTGAACGCACCCCATGGGCAAACTCAGCCTCACTGGTCACGTGAGTGGGCTCTATAGTCACGCTGGCTTTGTTCCAGGCCCCATGTGGCCACTTCTCAGCTCTGTGTCAAGGGCCAGGGCCCGAGCCTCTCCCTGCACCTCACTTTCTCATCTGCTACCTCGGAAATGGGAGAAATGACCACACTTTCTCCCTCGCAAGGTCGTCGTGAAGATCAGCTAAGAAAATACACTTTGTCCACTCCTGGTGTTAGAGAAGCCTCATTAAAGGAGAGGCATTTGTCATCTGAAACCCCGATTTTGGAAACTGGCATCCAGTGGCCTTACATAACGTGCCCAAGGTCAAGGGGCTATTTAGTGGGGCAGCCGCATCCAGCATTTGCCGATTTCCTGGCTCCAAGCCCAACACGCTTAACACAATACCAAACGGTAAAGAGATGTTTGCTTGCCCAGATGTGGAAGTGGCAAACCTCAGGGTACTTTTAGCACCAAAGTCCCTGAGATGCCATGGCAGTGAGGACACTTGACTGAGTTCTCCCTTTGTGGTCTGTTCCCCGTTCTGATGAGAAGACATGTTTTCCTTTCTTTAAATTTAGAGCACAGGCTGGAACTGGAGCCTCAGGGTGGCTGCCGGAAAAGCCGAGGAAATCACCCAGCACAAGGTAGTTAGGGTCTCAGGTGAACTCCCAAGGAACAAAGATAATTGGTGCTGCTTCCAAAGGAAGAACCTCATGGCCGGTGAATGGGTCCCAGGTAGCAAAGCCCAAAGTCAGCTCACCGAGCGCTAAGTTTTTGTTTCCCCTCAAAGGCTAACCAGTGTCTTCGTGGCTTCTTTCTTCGAAGGTCATGGCAGATTTCATGGGTAGAATGGATGAGCTATGCAACGAGAGAGGCCACATCGAAGACTTATACGGCGAACTGAACAAATGGTCGTTTGAAAGTAAGTCGTCTCTGTGGTCTGGTTCATTTGACTTTACAGATGATTTTGAGGCTAAAATCGTGGCTCTGTGGACACCTTGAGAGCTCCCCGATAATCATATACTGTTCTGACTAGGACAGTCAGCTGTTCCGACGCTCTTGGGTACTGAAGTTATGCTTTGTACTCTGGGTAGTTTGTGTAGTCATCAACAAACACGTAGTGAACACCTGTTGTGTCGGGCACCAAGCTAGGGACAGGCAGCGAGCAAAACAGGCAACATCCGTGCTCACATGGAGCTTGGGTTCTAGTAGGGGTGACTATTGACAAGTAAACACAACAATTTTAGAGAGGGGGGGAGAGAGAGAGAGACTGTGAGAGAGAAACATCAATTGGTTGTCTCCCATACTCACCCGGACCAGGGGTTGACCTGCACCCCAAGTATGTGCCCCGACCAGGGATCAAACCTGCAACTTTTTGGTGTGTGGGGCAATGCTCCAACCAACTGAGCCACCTGGCCAGGACCACATTTTAATACACACTCTGCCAAGGGGTAAGGGTTCAAGAAAGAATGTAGGTACCTAGACGAGGCACCTCTGCTTTGGGGTGGAGATGTCTGAGGCGAGACCTAAGAAAGGCAAGGTGCAAGCCACAAGGGGCCTGTGGGAAGGTCGTTCCAGAGAGCGGAGGCAGGAAGTGCAAATGCCCTGGGGCAGAAGCATGGGCACATGTTTGAGAAACGCCAGGGATGCCTGTGTGAGTGGATGGGGCGGGGGAGGATGCTCTGGAGAAGGTCAGGCCAGGGCCTACAGGTCCCACGAGAGCTTTTATAGTTCAAGTCACATGGAGAGCCACGGAGACTTGGACACAGAAGGGGGCATGATCACTTTCTCCAAGGATCACTCTGGGAATAAGAAGCACATCACTGCTCACCGGGGCTGCAGGCAAGGGAGCAAGGCCAGTTCAATAGACGAAGCTGGTTCAAGGCTGTGGGCACATCCGAGAGGGACGCCCCGGCTGAGCTTGGCCTGCAGGCGCTTCACGGAGGTGGTGCCCTCCCAGCTGGAGTCTGGGGGGTGAGCAGGAGTTCGCCAGGTGCAAGTGAAGGAAGGAGGAGTGGCCCAGGCAGAGGAGCTGAGATGATGCGAAGGAACAGGGAGGCCTTTGGAATGACTGGCACATACCCTGCGAGGGACGGTGAGGGCAGAGGGTGGGAGGGAGGCAGCGGGCGGCCCGTACATCCATATAAACCAGGACAGGAGTTGGACTTTGAACCTGGGAGTACCTGGGAGGGACGGTAAGCACTTTTGGCAGGAGGGTGGCATGGTTTGATGGCTGCACGGTCACTCTGGCTACTGATGCGAGGGTCTGGACATGGCACCCCAAGACGGCAGCCTTTGTCCTGATGTGTCTCCTCCATCAGAGCAGCCTCACTTTAAGGTTACGGACCAGTCATCTTGGCCCACAAGAAAGCTCCATGTAAATGAGAGATACACAGAAGGCGTTAAGGGGCAAAGAGGGGTGAAGGGAAGGGATGATTATAGAGGAGAAGGGAAGCGTATGCTTTGGAAATTGTCCACTGTAAATGCCCAAACTAAGGAGTAGCAAACGCATTGCTTTGTAAGTCAAGGAAAATCTGACCAGGGCGGTTTAAAAATTATTGTCTAGCATTACAGGAAGTGTAGAGGAAGGCCACCTGTGGCTGGCACTCAGTGACGTCCCCGGGGAGCCAAGTTCACGCTCTGTTCTCGCGCATCCAGCCCTAGCTTGCTGGCTTGTTGCAGAATGGCTGCCGGCCCTCCTGGTCTCCCCTCTGCCGTTTGGGCAAAAACAAGATGAGAAGAGGGTACAGGCCCCACTTTATCTGGTAAGGGAAATAACGTGTTCTCTTGGTCTCACTAGCCAGACACACCTGGGTCATTGGCTGCTCTGGAGGCTCCAGGAAGGCCTGGAAAGTCAGAGAAATGCCCAGTGGCATTTTTGACCAGGAGGATCTGCAGGGGATGGGTCGTTGGACCTGGAGATAATTTCTAGAAAGAGTGATTAGACTCTCGGGCTCTTCACTCCTCTGTTCTTTGAAAAGACCTCACGTCTATGAGAGGTGGAATCGAGCCTTCAGTGGCCAGCTCACCATAGTGTCCAGACGATGCTAACAGTGTTGCTGGTTTTAATTAACAGGCATCTGCCTTGTGCTCTATGAGAAGAGATTTGGGCTCCTTCAGAAGGACGCGGGGGACGAAGCTTTGGAATTCATCAAGGCCATCAAAACAGTAAGCATCTCCAGGGGAGAGAGTTGTCCTGACCCGGTATGCACACATCTCGGGATTTCCCCAAGAGTGGCGTGCACACGGCTTTTATCACAATAGTTAAGTGTTTGTTTTAATGCATGCTGTGTATTTTTGTGCCTGGTCATGCACAAAAATGCAGGTATAATAAAGCAGCACATTAAATCGTTATTTGGGCAAAGTTGGAATAGGAAGTCCAGTCGAAGGTCAGTTGATTAAATTCTGGTTGTCAAAAGCCTGAAGATTTTCAGACTTTACATTTTTGAGTCATTCAGGTCCCAGCGGATCTAGTAGACGCAGAGAGACTGGCAAAGGAGTGGCTGAGGTTTAGAAATGCGGGTGATGATAAAATGTATAGTTTTCCTTTTTTCTTCTTTTTTAAGAAGTAGGTTATAAGAGCAATTTTTAAAAAAAATTAAACCTGACTGAAAAATCATCCCAAGGATTATTCTGAATATGTTCCCGGGAGATGGGGTGGGAACGGCTTCCAGGCCCGGTGCTGAGGGGCCCCGGGCACCATGTTCAGAACGCCCCGGCTCCGCCCCATCCGGAGGAGGTACCCGGAGAGAAACAGGGATGAAGAGGCACTTGTGTCTCCCACAGATGATGAGCACGTTCGGGAAGATGATGGTCACCCCTGTCGAGCTGCACAGGAGCCTCAACACCAAGGTCTGGCAGGCCCACACGCTGGCCTGGGACACCATTTTCAAGTCAGGTAACAGGGCCACACACCTGGGCTCACTGTCCCCGAGCTGCTGCCCAGAGGTCGGCAGTGGTCTTCTTGGCCAGGCCACCTCGATCCTCAGCAGGAGGTGCTCCTCCTGATTCCTTTGGGCTTTGCAGACGAGAGTTCAGGGGTCATCCCAGGGTAGGCAAATTCTAAGGAAAAGGCAGGGGGCGGCATAGTGTTGTCTCCGGGAACCAGGAGGCATTAAAAGCAAGAGCTGTGGAGTCAGAGGTATCTGGGTTCAATTCCCTGGTCTGCCATGGGTGCAGCAGGTGAGCCAAATGCGCTATCTCCTTTTCATCCTCAGTTGCCTTGTCTCTAAAATGGGCTAAGAACAACAACAACAATAATAATAGCACCTACCTCAATGTAACAAATTTCTAGGTCTGGTATAGACCATGTGAAGCCTGGCATATGACAGTATCTCAAGGCATCAGAGCTATTTCTGCTACATTTTGGAGGGAGTATTTGAGGCTAGGTATTGTTCTGTGATAAAATAATATACTACACACATTTAAACATACACACTTATTTAACTCCCACCAGAAAACCCATGTCAGATCCTTCTCTTAGCCCCAAGTAACAGAACTGAGGCACAAAGAAGTTAAGCAACCTTCTCAACATCACACGCTAGGGGATGGCAAAGCCAAGGTTGGAAGCCAAGCAGAAAGGCTCCCGGAGATCAGACTCCAGTGGCTGTCCCATTCATTGTCATCATCTGTATTGCCACCATCCCCACTGTTATCATTCGGGTGGTGGCTCACGTCGTGATTGAATGAACTAAGGGAGACATAAGCCTGGAGTGTACTTTACAGATATTAGAAAATGTTACTAATATTGTGACTGTTCACGGGCACTGCACATATGTGTGCGCACCAAGATTTGGGGGCCACACCCTTTCTCGGTGTGTCTGCCTGTATTAGTGACCGCCGCAGCTAGACACCTGGAAGTGGGTTCAAGTTCTGATTCTGAGAGTGGACCCCTGTCCTGTGACCTGCGGGTCAGCAGCACCAGCATGACCTGGGAGCTTGTTAGAAATGCAGACTTCCAGGCCCACCCCGGACCCTCGATTCAGAATCTGCATTGCCAGGGGGCTGGTGTGCACATTGACATTGGAGAAGCCTCACTTCCCGGGGCATCCATCCATCCTTAACGACCCAACGAGGCAGCGTGATCCCCTCTAACGATGCCCGTGTCCCAGAAAAGCCCCGTGCCATGACGACTTCATCTTAGGTTCCCCTTCATTCTTCACCCCATTTTAATGTTCAGCCGACTTCCTCTCCCTTTTCTCTTCTCCAACAGTCAAATCCTGTATTGACCAGCGGTTAGAGAAGCACTCGGAGCAGCCCGGCAGGGACTTCCTCTGTGACATTTACCACCGCAACCAACTTTCAAAGAAAGAGCTGTACGCCGCAGTCACGGAGCTGCAGCTGGCTGCGGTGGAGACGGTGAGGACCGGCCGAGCCCAGCATGGCATCTTTTCATGATGCGCTGTAACGAGCCGTGCAACTCACTCATTCCACGAGAATGAACGGTGTTCTAGCTTAGCCGAGATGAAAAGTCCCACACCGGGTGCCGTGGGAGACCCGATGATGTACAGCCACTGTGCTCCCACGTGACAGGAGGAGAGTTCTCCTAGTGACTCCTGTGCTAGTGATGACACTCCAGAGCAGGGTCTGAGTGTTGTGACAGATGGAAACAGGTCCGGGAATCCGGGAGCAGTAGACTTCCACAGCACCCAATCAACGTTCTAGATTTTTAAAAATTGGGTATATACTTTAGGTGGCAGTACATGTTACCTACCTGGGGCTGTTCATTTATGATTTAAAAAATATTGGCATACTCTCTGGAGAACTAGCAAACGTGGCCAGAGTTGAGACTGGAGAAGCGGATGGGCCATGGTAGCTGGCTTAGGAAGCCATTTGTCTTTTATTATGGAAAGCTCTGGGAGTGTTTTAAGGAAGGGGGCAACTTGATCAAGTTTATGTTTTGTGAAGTGGGCTCCCGCTGGCGGGTGGAGAGTGGGGGCAGCGGTCAGAGCGTGCAAGCGGGAGGTCAAGCCTGGACACCCTTGGTGCCCGTGAGGTCTTGCAGGCCACTTCCCCTCCACTGAGCCCCAGCAGTGACCTTGACGGGTGGGCTGCCTGTTGTACTGGGCTTTGGTGAAAGCTACAGTTAGCTGCCCTTTTGGAGACTCTATTTGGTCCTTGTGGTAACGGACCCACTGATGGAAATCTGTTTCCTTTTTTGTCCTGGCTATTCTGAAAGTATCAATTGGAAAAATCAGAGAAATTTGAAAGTCTATCAATTTTGGCAGCTCCGCCCTCTTCCTGTTCTGTAAACCAGACTCTGGTACTAATGCCGTCTGCACTTTATTTGCAGCGGAGGCTGCCAGTCCTGATATGAAGAAGACTGTCTTGGGGACATCTTCCAAAAACATTAAACACCATTGGCTCCCAACTGCCTTGCACTTTGCCCATTTATGTGACTGGCATATGGCACTTGGCTAAAGCGTCTTCCTGTCTGCAGAGAAAGAACACCATGACCATTTTTAGGAGACTATTTGGTTTAAATTAGCTTTTAAAAAGAACGGGCCTAAAATAACAAATACTTCTGACTACCAGTGGTGAATATTACAAAACTCAAAGCTACACTTGGCTGCTTCCGCCAATATTTTTTCTCTTCGTGTTGCTTTTGGAAAGGAAATAGAGAATGCCACTTAAAAGGCCACGAGCCTTTGTCAGAAACTGGGCTGGTAGCTTGCAATTCTCAACTTGATGCTCAAATCTCTTATTTTGGTGTTGGCAGTCTCCTCCGATGGCTCTTTGCATGTGGCTGAAGCCCTGAGTCTAGATAACGCCTTTATAGTTTTGTGGTAACTTTTTAGGGTGTGGCAGAAAAAAAAAAACCCTATTTCAAATTCCAGAAGTACAGTTTCTTTTGTGTATGCAATGCAAAAAAAAAGTTTAAATCTCTAATGGCAACACTCCTAGGATCTCCATTCCTCTCTCCCCACTCCATTTTTATATTAAATAATTCTTGAATTAAACTTTGGGGGGGAGATAATTATAGACGCACATGCAGCACTAGAAAAAAAGATAAAGAGGGAGGCCCCTGGTGTCCTTCCCCCAGTTTCCCTCAGCGGGACCGTCTGGCATAGCAATGACCATGCTCACAACCTGGCTCTGACATTGGTCTCATCCCCCCAACTTGCTTTCCCTCGACCAGCTTTGCACACACTCCTCTGTGTTCAAACCATTTTTGTACCAAACCATATTTCTAAGTCTAATGTGGCAAATTGTTCACAGGATTCTATTTTGATTCCCTCAATAAATAAACTACCCTTCACCAATACATTTTATCAAGTCCATTCAACTGTGCATCCATGGTAATCACTGAAGGCAAACAGGGACATGGGGAAAAGCATCAGTAATTTTTTTTTCCCCCGCTGAGCAAGGCAGGAGGTCTCGCCTTGGCTTCAGCGCAGACTGGCTTTTAGGCAGTTTCTTTGCAGAAACTCAAGGTTGTGTCGCTTGGTGTTTCAGACCGCGAACAGCTTAATGTGGATTCTCTACAATCTATCCCGCAATCGCCACGTGCAACAAAAGCTTCTTAAGGAAATCCACAGTGTGTTGCCTGTGAGGCAGATGCCACAGGCGGCGGATGTGAGGAAGATGCCATATTTAAAGGCCTGTCTGAAAGAATCCATGAGGTAAGAACAGGTGCCTGAGCCTGCATGAACGTATTAGAACGCCGTCCTCTGTAATACACAGTGAGGGGTCCCTGCCCAAAGACAGCTGATTCTTAACATGTATCAAACTGGGAAAAGGAAAAGAAAAGGAATCTCAGGACCATATTTCATGTCTATCAAAATTTATTTCCTGAACCATTTGAGCAAATTCTCTTACTTTTCAGTAGTTAGTGCTATCCCCTTTAAAAAATCAGTAACAATACTTTAATGAATGCTGTAAGCACTAATTAGGATTCTGGGCAGGACCGAAGAATCTGACATAAAAGCCCAGCCAGGGGACCATATTATTATGCGGTAAGACATAGAGACATCTTTATTTCTGAGCCTCCGGTATCCAGTATTCTTTGAAAATTCTTTCTACACCCTTTCTGGAAAACAAAACTCACACCGTTTAGGATTAAGAGAAAATACCTTTAACTTCATGAAAGGCAGGCAAGAGAAAACTAGAACAAGTATCAAGATTCAGGGTAAAGCCCTGGTCAGTGTGGCTCAGTTGGTTGGGCGCTGACCCACAGACTGAAAGTTTACCAATTCAGTTCCCAGTCAGGTCACATACCTAGGTTTCAGGTTCAGCCCCTAGTAGGGGCGCATGTGAGAGGCCACTGGTTGATGTTTCTCTCTTTCTCTTTCTCCTTTCCTTCTCCTCTTTCTAAAAATAAAAATAAACGTAAAAGAAAGATTCATGGCAAAGCATGAAAAACATACACATTTGAAGTCTAGAACGAAATGGGAAAGCTGCTATGAACAAGCTACTCAGCAGGCTCGTACTGGCAGGTTTTGTCAACCCAATAAAATAAGGAATAAAAACAAGAGATGTAAATATCAGGGAGACAGACGTGACGTCCTTACGAAGAACTGTGATGAGGTTCCCCTTCTGGGTTATGAATTTACCCAACAATTGTGCACGGAACCAGAATCTGTGTTCCCATCAACACTTGAGGCACAACTTGGTCCCTGCCCACCTCACATCCTTGGTTTTGATTTTTTCAGACTCACCCCGAGTGTGCCATTCACAACTAGGACCCTTGACAAGGCAACGGTTCTGGGCGAATATGCTTTACCCAAAGGGGTAAGTCGAATTTGTACATTTTGTGCCTTACAGAGCTTTGAAAGACACACTAGGACCCAAATAGGCACCCGATTTCCCTAAACACGTTTACAGGGAAAAACATTTCACAAACACACAGGTTCTGACATGTAGCTGACAGGTGGCATCATGCGGTGTTAGGAACGAGGGCCACAGAGACAGGCCTGGATTTGGGTGTGGACTTGAGTGAATTATGTAACTTTGGTGCGCCTCGCCTTTCTGTAAAATGGGGATAGTGATAACATCTACCATTTTGGGTTCTTGTGGGAATGTGATACAAAAATTTAAAGTTCTTTACCTATGTAGTATCTGGCACATTTCAAGCTCTCCGTGCCTTTTGGCAGTCATCATTGTCATACATTTGTGGGTGACGTTTACATTTGTAGGGGGCTGCTTTTGTAAGTTTCGCTCTTCACACATCTTCCACTTAGCTTAAATGCCACATGTTTCTGTGTGTCTGTAGACAGTGCTGATGCTAAATACCCAGGTGTTGGGGTCCAATGAAGAACACTTTGAGGATCCGAGTCAATTTCGACCCGATCGATGGCTTCAAGAGAAAAAGAAGATCAATCCTTTCGCACACCTGCCGTTCGGCATTGGGAAGAGGATGTGCCTCGGTCGCCGGTTAGCTGAGCTTCAGCTGCACTTGGCTCTATGCTGGGTAAGACCCCGGCTGGCTTTCTGTGCTTGCATTCGGTGCTTTCCTACAAGGCAGGAGAAGAGGGCTAACTCTGCCCTTTTCTGTGTACGGTGTGTGTTCCAGATCGTCCGCAAATATGACATCGTGGCCACGGACCTCGAGCCGGTAGAGATGCTGCATTTGGGCATCCTGGTGCCCAGCCGGGAGCTCCCCATTGCTTTCCGCCAGCGATGAGAGGCTGCAGGTGAGCACCCGGGATGCTGGGCATGGCAAGGGGTGAGCCAGCCCAGAAGTCAGCCAGAGCTGGATCCCTGCTCACCACTGATTCTCCTGGTGACCTTGAGTAGTTCCTCAGCTGTTCTGCCTCCTTTTTTGTTTGTTTGTTTTAGTATTTATTTATTTATTTGCTGATAACCCATTTAATTTAATCACACTTCTTGGATATATAATTGGAATATACCTTCTTTTCTGGATTTTTTTTTTTTTTACCGATACCTGGAGCAGAGTGTTTGGGTCCTCCTGAAGGCAAGGTGCTTGTGGCTTCTGCAAGACTCCAAACTTTCAATGCCAGAGCACGGAGCAACCCATGAAGGGCATTCGGGCACAGCGTTCCTCTTCTCCCTTTCGTACAGGTGTTCCAGGAGCTGCCCCTTCCATGGATAATGGCACTTAAGAAAGTATCTGTCTCAGGGAAGTGGATGAAGTGTTGTCTTCCAGGTCGAGTGCTGGCTTCCACTTGACCAAGGTCAACACCATCCGGACTTACAGGGACTTGCCTGTGATCTTGTCCCCTCCTGCATTTTCCATGATGTGATAGAAAGGCTGGGCACCTGTGGGTCAGGTACAAGTCACTGAACGTTTCTGTCCCTGCCCAGCCAAATCCTCCACTTGAACCTTTACTCCCATGGTGTTAGGTTACAGAATCACAATAAAAAAAACTACTATAGCCAAATTGTCTGGGGCTCAGGGTAATATTGACAATCCATTTATTATAACTGCTTAATGTAAGGTTTGGAAAAACATTTTATAATATAAAAAACATTAATAATGTAAGCCAAGCTACATGTTCCTGGGCCGCTGCACTTTGAAATGGGAGCATCACTGGGAAGTTAGAGAATACCTCTATTAGCAGTAGGTTAATAAAGTCAAAACTTCTTATATAAAAAGACCTTAATGATTTACTATGGCATCGTTTGGTTAAAGGGTCCTGAAATTCTTCACTCGGTTAATGTATTTCCTCTATGGCATTAAGGAGTTGGATCAATAGTTTTAAATTGTATGTGTATGCATGTATTCTAATAGCACTTTGTTTAAGTCATATTTTAAAATATATGGTATTTCATTTAGGATCTGTGGTTTGAGACAATGTTATAATGTTCAGCCAGAGCTTAAAAATATGTAGTAACTTCCCATGGCTTAATTTTGCATCTATAGAATGGGGCAGTAGCAAAGTGCATGTATGTTATAGATTAATTCTATCTGGGGGAGGCAAAGGTAGGTTTACAGTTGCTCAAATAAATAATTAATAAAAACGAACCCAAGGATAGACCCTGTGTTTCATATACAACTGTAAACCTACTTTTGCCCACCCCTGTATAATTAGTCTTATTAAGACTGATTATAAACTTCATCAGGATGTCCCTCACGGATGAGGGACATTTAAAAAGTTTAAATTGTCCCTTGATTAAGGCGATTTAAACTTTTTGGGCAAATATGATTTCATAAATGGGAAATGCATAGAGATTTATGCAATGCTTATAAAACTGTTTTTAAAAATTGTGTTTACATATGGTTTATTTACACATATTTTTACTACCACTTTTTTTAAAAGCATACTATATACTTCTGTAATTTGATAAAGATTTCCCTTTTCAGGTTATATTTTTAGAATAGTTCAGGAGTGTACATTTGTATCTTTATATTTGAATACATATGTACAGTTTGCTAAAATAGGTATATGCTTCCTCCTTGCTGTGAAATTATTTTTAGAATTATAAATTCATGTGTTTTCAGATTTCATCTGTGTATCTTTTTTGAATTCTCTCAAAGTCAGAATAAAGTCTTAAAAATTTTGAGAGATGTTTCCTCTTCCTTGCACTTGTTACAACAAAATTTTAAAATTTTAATTTTGCCTTACTAGAAAAATTCTCATGTGGCCACATCCCAAGCTCTGTATCACAAAATCTACCTTTACAAAACTCTGGACTTCAGTAGCAGGTGTACAGAAGCATAATCATTTGAATAGCAATTAAGTCTCTTTCTTTTTTCCCCCCTTGCTTAAATACAGGGCCCAGCACAAATAATGCCCCATTTTGATTACACAAATCTCGTATCACAAAATCGTAAGCATGTGATTCCGTTAACATAACAATATCACACTCAGGCACACCCTGTGACAGTGTAGGTGACACGTTTGAATTAAAACTGTAAATTATCCCACACATATCATTACCTTGCCAGCCCCTCTGGAGCAGGCCTTCCTTCTCTTCCCGACCCTGTACCTGGACCGCAGCGAAACCCCCAGCCGATCTCCATCTTGCCTCCCTCCAGTCTGTTCCTCATACACTGGCTCCGTGGGTCTGTCCGAGACCTGACCGTGTCTCGTTCCACTCCTGTGCATCCCGTGGTTCCTCAGAAGGCCAATGCCTTCAGCTGGACCTCGGTGTCCTATAAAGGATGGTGCCCCTGACCTGCAGGGCCCCACCCCCCTGGACGCCCTCCTCCCCCTGGATGCCCCCAACTCCGCCGCAATGGCTCCCAGAAGCTCCTCTGTTTCTTAAATGCCAGCCGCCCATCCTTTGCTACCTGCCACCTTGCTTTGTCTTCCTTCCTCCTTCCCTCTGCACCATGTAGACCCCTGACCAAGCCTCCCGCAGGAAGTCTTCCCTGATGATCAAAATCCCCAGAGGCAGACCTCAGGACCCAGGATCATCAGGGAAGTGACTCCCGGGGACATCTGTGAGGGAATGAGGGCGGCAGGAGAGGGACAGGGAAGGAGCAGAGGAGAGTGCCACCGGCAGGAAGTCCCCACCTTGGCCTGGCCCTGGGAGCTTTCTGGTGCAGCACCCAGAGCATGGTGTCCTCCTCTGGGGCTGCCCCTGAGGCTGGGAAGTCCCAGGTGCTCCAGCTCTCAGCCTGTCCATGCAAAATAGCCACAGCAGCCCACGGGGTCTGTGAGGGGGGGGCGACAGTGCCCCAATAGAAACTCAGCATCAGAAGCTGGGAGGTGCACCCCTACGGACAAAGGGTGTGAGGGCATCTTGGGGACACAAGGGCAGTGTCAGCCACCCGCCTGAGCATGCGGCCCAGAGTGGATGCTGGCAGATGAGGTTGGAGCCAGGGTAGTAATAACTCGTACCTATTGGCTGCTCTGGACCAGATGTCCTCGCGAGCGCGTGAGACGCACGAATCGCCCCACAACCACCACCACCACACAGCGGGGGTTATGGTTCTCCAAACTTCACACCCGAGGAGCTCCGGGGTCTGTACCCCGCCTCCCACAGCAGGTCCCTGTCCTTCCAGACTCCGCACGGTGGCACACTGACACAATTATGTGACTGATACTCGACACCTACATGTACACCATACACAGGAATGTAGGTGTGACGAGGACAGGGGCACGTTTGCCACTGTACCCATGACACTTGGCTTCAGGCTCATAATGGGCTCTCAGCAAACATTTTTCTTCATCGAATTGCCCTTCTTGGTAACGTTTGCCACAGCCTTTAGCCCTGGCTGGTTACCTTGCACTGCCTATCTTCCTTCAAGGGTTTGATTCATCCTCTGCCTAATCCAGTGCCAGGGAGAACAAAACATTCCTCCTTATAGGGCCCATGATAACATGGAGACGTATTCCAAGGACTGGAGGATGTATGTGAAATATGGTTTATATGACATTAATACATAGGCTATGGTAACATGATGAAGCTTACTATAGATACACATAACCTGTAACTAAATGTACTATATAGTAATACAATGCATAATAAACTGTATCTGATATAGGTAACTTTTCCCCCCGAGTGCTTCCCTGAGTCAGACCCACCTTTGAATAGATCCTCACTCGCTTGCCCTGCAGAACAACTGTGTTCATTCACTATATGCATTAACTTGGCCAGACTCTGGGGCCAACTGTAGGACCCTTTCTTGCACCTTAACCCACGCATTCCTCACACGGCCCTGCCAGGGCCCTCCCCTGGGTTTGTAAGACACGGGGAGAAGGCAAATATCTCACTCAGAAAACACAATAAGCAGAAGCCTTAACCCCAGACCCCGACCTCCCTGACTCCGAGCCCCTGTGGCCAGTGGGCGGTTCATCCGTCAGCAGGTGCTCAGCCTGAGCCTGTTGAACAAGCCTGGTTGAAAGCCAAGGCTCCGTTTATGATTCGATGCAATTTGTTGAGCTTTCTGTAATCTCTGGGATTGGACATTGATCCGAAGGACTTAGTCGCTGACTGCTGTCCATGACTGTTGGGTCCTGCAAACCTCCCTTTATCAGCAAAAAAAAAAATTTGCAGAACTCTTAATCACCAGGATGCTTCGCACCTGGGCTCCTGGCCAGCATGGACTCCCCAGCTTTAGAATGAATTACGGGGTTTGCACAGTGGACACTTTCTCTTGCCAAATTCATATTTGCTTTAGTGAAAATGAGTGTGAGACATTCTGTACGCATGCTGAGCGGCAAGGCAAGGTGAAGGGGAGAGAGGGGTTAAAACTCTGGGAGTTAAAACTGAAACCAAGCCAAGAGTTGATGGCACACACTTGAATGATAAATTGGTTGTAATTGCTTTTCATTTCATTTTTTTAACCCTCATCTGAGGACATTTTTTCATTGCTCTTAGAGAGGAAGGGAGAAAGGGAAAGAGAGAGAAGCACTGATGTGAGAGAAAAACACTGATTGGTTGCCTTCTCGTAGGTGTGTCCACTGGGGATCCATCACACAACTTGGGTATGTGCTCTGACTGGGAATTGAACCCGGGACCTTTCAGTCTACACTGGGATGACACTCCAACCACTGAATCACACCAGCCAGGGCTCATGTGTTTGTTTTTTTTAATGAGGTGATTTCCTCCTTCATTTATTGTTGATTCTTCTTCCTTGACAATTTGCCCTGGTGTCTTTGTACCAGGTGACATCTATTGGAAGCCAGTGAGTGTCCTCTGGTGTATGGCAACACCAGTTGGTTGGTGACAGCTGCCTGATGCTCAGTATTGAGAAGGGTTCTAAGGCTGAGCCCAGACACAGCAGGGAGAGACCATAAGTTTCCGGCAGTATCTGCCAACAGCCTATTACATATTTGCCCACCCTCTGCACGCTGTCTTCTGAATGCCAAACTTCCAGACACGTGATGAGAATAGCTTCACATTTATCAAGCACTGTGTGCTTGGCACTGTATTAATTATATTATGTTGATTTTTTCCAGTGTTTTTTATTAAGGATACATAAGTACCCCCCACAATATACATGCAAGATACATTTTGCAAACAAATAATTTTCATGACTGATACTGTGCAGGTTTACAATGATCTTCTGGCAATACTGGCTTTTTAAAAATTTCCAGTGCTGTTATTAAACTTGCTTTTGAAATCAGTTGATTTACATTTAAAGGGGAGATGATGGTAAGTGAATGACATTTCAAGAGGCCGACAAATGAGGCACCAGGAACATGGCACAGGAATGGCTGGAAATTAGGAAGGGCTGGCATTTAATAACCCTGTGATAAAGGGTTATGAAACCCCAAGTCTATGATGCAGGTGTGAGCAGACTTCCATTTTACAGTTGAAGAAACTGAGGCTTGGAGATTAATAAGAGGCTTAAGTTCATGGAACTAGTATGGGATACAGCCAGGATTTGAACGCAGGAAGTCTGACTGTGGAGGTCGAACACTCGGCTGGGCCCCCCATGTTCCCTACTGGCTGGTAGGCACCTCTGGGTGGAACTCCCTCCTCTTGAGTATGGGCAAGACCTGTAACTTGCTTCAACCCGATAGAATATGCCAAAGGGGATGGGATGTCGCTCACCTGGTTACGTTAGAGATGATTGTAACATCCACTCTCCCGGGAGACTTTTTCCTTTGCTGGTTTCCATGACTACACAGCTATGCTGTGAAGGCCCACATGCCCCCCGATAAGGAGCGGAGGGCAGCCTCCTATTAGTAAGGAAAGTCCAAAAAGCGCCCACTAGGTCTTGGGTTAATCATCAGAACCAGCAACATGCACCAATTCATCCAATATCTATTAAATCCTTATTGATTAAAGCACATACTTATTAAAGATAAGGGCATTCTGTTATCATATTCCAAGCCTTGTTTCTGATCACCACCTTGAAATTCTATGTTCTCCACAGTGCAATTCACTAGGGGCACAAGCTCACCCCGCCTTTCAAGTTTCAACTCATTAGTTCTGGTTTTTAACCCCTAAATTGTAGAAAATTATCTGAGGTCATTGTTCTCAAATACTTTCACAGTGTTTAACTCCAGGTTCATTTTAACAATAGGAATAACCCACAAATGAGTTACTTTCTTCTTGTAGAAATGAATAAACGAAAGCAAGTGAGGAAGAAGAAAGACACTGATGTTTTTGCGGTGCCAATGAGGTGGATCGTGGCTTTCATTAAATAACAGAGGCAGATTATTAGTGAAAATCATAAAGCTACAAAGATGAGCTCAGGATTGCCTTGTGGAGGTACCTTGTTGGCTAAGACCTGACTGCAGAGACAGCAGAACAAAGTAAATGTGTAGCCATCATGTGCTTAATGAGATTCCTGAGACCGATTCCATTGTTCCTGTTTTTCTCACAGTTTCCGGAGAAAGGTGCTGAGTCTGACTTTGGACAAGCATTCGGTCGGTCTGCCAAGTCTTTGCAGGTTCCCCAGCAAGTGACCTGGGGAAAAAATTCATATTAAGTCTTTAAATGTCTACAAGAGCCGGAAGAGCTTAAAATAGTTAACTCATCAACTAGCCCTGAATGAACTGAGGATAAGCTTG